CTGTCCTATTGCTTCATGGCATCTTTCTCTCTTAATGAAGTTTTAAGGCTGTGGATCAGGTGCTAAAAGGCTTTGCTCATCTCTAAACTGTTAAGACTTGGAAGATCAAGTTGATGCTAGAGAACCTAGATTGGCTTAAGATGCTTAAGTAGCTTTATAGTTCTTAAAATGGCTTATGCCCTATAAAACTCAGGTAAAGTGGGGAGAGGAGCCTGACTGTTGATGTGTGATTGGGATCTACCTGGGAAAGATGGGGGTAGGGGAAGACCTGGCTGGAAGTCTTTACCCCAGCCGCAGTTACTGGAAGGCCTTCGCTCAGTCTTGCCTGTTAGCAGACTGCAGAAGAGGTGGATTCAAACCAGGAATAGGCTCAGCAGGCAGTTGAATCTTAACAATCAACTTTGAAATAAGAGATTGAATCTTTCCTCCCCCCAAACAGCAGGTGCCTCTTCCCCCTCTGTGACAACAAACTCTTCTCCTCATCTTCCCCACTATCTTTTGCTTGTTGAATTAAGTGGTGGAGTCATGGTAGGCTTGCCACAAGTATGGGCTGTGGTGCATAAGTTGGGCATCTCTGTGCTTAAACAGGCCGCAAACGTAGGACGTCCAAGATGGTGAAGGTGCCTACGTAGCAGCAGAACTCTGATTTGATTAGGCACAGATCTTGTGGGTTGGTTATTTAGGTAGCTTCATCCAAAATACTGTTTGGATCTTGTCCTAGAGTGGTAGCATCTGCATCCTTCCAGTCCTGAGGCATTAGTGGTAGCCTTTCCATTTTGAATTCAGCTCTTTGTATGAAACACTACTGAATACATAGCTTAGTTTCTTCAAAGCCCAGAGGTCGTATTCAGTTGTACTTGAGCTGGGTTTGGTTTCTTTAAAAAACGTCTTCATGCATAAACAAATTATTGTTCTGCTAGAACTAAATGTGGGAAAGGCAGCTTCTCTGCAAGGCTGCCATATCTTATCTTTGCTTAGCTACCAACCAGGTAGAAGTGCTTTAATATTGTGTTGCCATAATTAAATTGCCGCTAGAGCCTTGGGCTAAAGTGGAAGCTGCAGACCTGGGTAGCAGGTGGTATCTGAAGAAAGAATGATGTATGAGACTAGGCAGGCAAATATCTGGTTAACCGTGTTTGCTCAAACTTAACGGCTTTCCTAACTATGCAGGAAGTTCCCTCCCTTATGATTCATGATGTGCACAATCTGTGCTGACTGTTGGTGCTAAATAGTTACCTGGGAAAGCTTTGAGCACATTCTCTAACCTTAGCAGACAAGATTACAACATGATTAATGGTAGGAGTTGGGATGGTAACACTTTGCTGAGCCTTGCTGAGCCTTCCTGAGCCACTTAGTGACATTCAGTTGAACTTCTCAATAGTTGGTTCAAGCACCTTCATGCCGGTCTCTCGAACTTCAGCTTCTAAAATGGCATAGATGACTTAAGTACCAACCTCTTAGTTATCCTGAGTTGGTAAGGGTAAATCAGTACTGGTTCTGGAGCAACAAAATCTTCTGTTTTAATCTCTCACATAGTGGGCAAAACCCCACTGCTACTTGTCTCTGGAGCAGGTGCATCCTTAGGCTTCAAGATCTCTTCAGGTACTGGCTTGCAGCCGATACCTGCAGTGACAACCAAGGTACACCTGTAACAATTGAATTTGCTATGTAGGGCAAAGTACAAAATACTCGAGCATGCACAGTAACTACTCTAAGCCACATAACAGAAGTCTAAACCTAAGCTTCAACTCTAAAATGTATGTATGTCCTGCACTGGGAAGGCGGGATACATCTAGCAGGGTGTGGCTCTACATCCTCTATTCCACCTTGAGCCAGCTGTATACGCTCTGAATTACCATGAAGAGTGAGGAGGAGGAGGAAGGCCATGCAGTGGGATACTGTGGTCATGGGAGGGCCCTTTAGAAAGGCTTCATAATGAGCCTACAGGTTTCATCGTGTAGAGAAATCTTGATTCCTGCCATTGCCTAGCTATGTTTGGAGTGTCAAGAGCTGCTAAACTCGTCAAAAAACTTCACGCTGCAGAGCAAAACCTTTCTTTTGGGTTCCATGTGGGTCCTGTCTGTCGTCCCCATCCTGCTTTGTTTCCTTGGGGCCATCACTTTAATTTGGAAAGTCCCTTGGAGAGAAATTCATTCCTTCTCCAAGTGCTCCACAGGAACAGCTAGCAGAGCCTATCTTCTTCAGACCGCCCTTAGCAGTGCCTTTGTCTGCCCTGAATCCCTGCTTGTGCTGAGGAGCTCCTGGGGAAGAAGCAGATAAACTGTTGTGGCTGGCAGGGGAGTATTGTCTTCCCTGAAGTGGATGAGTTAGGGATGACAGGTAGCCCAGAAGTTGTTCTACGGCAGGTTTGGAAGGGTGGACTACAGTCTTTTTTCTGGCTTGGCTTGTGTTTCAGGGTGGAGACCGTCAGACTTCCCTAGGTGATGTTTAGCGAGTCAGCTTCCTTCATCACCAGGTAGGATTTGTAGCTGGGAATGAGTGAGGAGCAATGCTCCTGTAAAGTCCTGCAGGTAAGAGCACAGGAGGCTGATGTGTTTAAGTGCCTTGTTTGGGAGGTGCTGTAGCAACCCCGCTGTATGGCCACCATAAGATAGATTAATCTGAGCAAAGAGGGTCGTTTGAATTAAGGAGTGCTTGCGCGGTCCCTGTCTTCTACGACAGAATTACTTCTGAAAACTAGAGAATTGTCTCGGGTGACTTCTGGGCTCATGCTCAGGCTATGCATAAACCCCGGCAAAAGCAGAATTAAGCCTCTCATGCGGAGGCTCAGATCTGTAACTCGACAAACCTTCCCTGTAAGCCAAGGTATATTCTAGTGGCAGGCAATGTGCTGTACTTGTCTCTCTGAGGGTGTCTTGGAGAGTTCGGCCCATGCATGCTTCTGTCTGTAGCAGTGACAGGCCAGGTCAGTGGTCTTAAACTGGCAATCCAGATGTCTTCTTGGGACATGAAACCCACTTTTGCACAATAAAGACGCAGGAAGAGTACCAGATTTTTTCTGAATGGATGCTATGGGGTAAAACTGAATGCAGGGAGTTCCCTGTAAATGACAAGAATGTAAGTGTTGACTCCAGTAAATGCCCTTGGCCAGGAAATGATATGCCTGATTGTTAGCAGGGATGAACAGATCTTCATAAGGGGTTCTTTGTCCTACAATAGCTACTTTCAGTTGTCATAGCCTGCTAGCATTGGCTGGTGTTGCACTGAATGATTCTCTGGGGTTGGGAAAAAGTCCTGGGGGTAGCCTTGCCTTCAGTCTCTGTGTCGGGAGAGCAATGGTTGAAAACACCCAGCTCTTCCAGTGTGCCACATCTGATAACTTGTCGTGCTGCCTAATCCAGTTAGTACAACCACTGCCTGAGCCATTTGTACAGAAGACAGTCCCCGTCTGCTGAGTTACAGGAGGGAAGGCTGCAAAGCAGAATCGGTTGCTATTCGTATTAGTGTGCTTGGTTGATAGAGAGTATATTATTACTGTAGCCATGTTACAGTTCTCTGCTGCCTTTGGATGCTTTAGAATCTGTGACCAAAGCTTTGACCTTTATCAGGTGAACTTTGCAGTATTTCTGGCAGCCACGTGTCAGAAACACAGAGGGGCATTATATTTTGTTCTTTTCAATGGGTTTTGAAAATAGCAGAATGCTGTGTTTCAGGCTCTGGCACTCCTGTTATGAGTCTGCAGGTAGTCTGCACCAGAACCCAATGTAGGTCTGCAGCTTAAAGGAACTGCTCTTTAATTAGCTGGAAAGTCTGTTCTTGTGCCTGCTGACTGCAGTGGAAATGGGATGTTAAAACTTCAGAAGTGGTATGCTTTCTTCTTGTTTCCCCGGGGAATACATTGCCTAGGCTGGAGCTGGGCATACTGCAAGGCTCTTTCACTCCTGCGGCTTCGAGTGGAGCCTGGCGTAATGTCTCCAATCGGCTTCGTCTTGAAACGTCACTGTTGTGGTGGAGGAAAAGATTAACTTTTATTTGATTATACTCCTCTGTGCACAGGCTGCAAGTGAAGAGCCCAGGTCAAGGTGTGGTGTTGGGAGGAAATGGTTGCTCAGCTGTAAAGGTGATCTACACTGCTAGTAAGCTTGATTTTTCAGTGAAAGAAAAAAAAAGTAGTAAAGCACTGCAAAACTGTGCTGAGAGCCTCTTCTAGGTAAGCAGCACTTCTGCTTCCCAGGGCTAGATTTTATACCCTCGGCGTGAAGTCAGAGGGCTTACGTAAGCCGGTCTGTCTTTATGGTGTACGTGGCAAAACATAAATGCATTCAATCAGGACAGTGCATTCCAGTGTTACTGGTTCTTAGCATAACTGGCAGCTCTAAATGACAGTGGCTGAACCACCAAGGACGTAGGACAGTGCACGTCAGTAATCTTTTTAAAAAAAACAAACCCAAACCAACCCCCCTCATACCCAGATATATTTAGCCTTATGGGCAAAAATCATAACGCACATTAGCACCTTCACTAAGAAACCCTCGATGGTGTTTGTGGCAGAGCCTTCAGAGACGAGTGCTGCTTTCTCCTGTTCTGAGCTCACACTACAGTGCGATACCTGGGCACAGAGACTGGGCTCTGGCTACAGGTTATTACACTGGTGGAAGCAGCTGGGGAAATAGTTACGCACACAGAATTTTCCATTAATCAGAGGAAAAAGTCCTATACAGATGGTATATGGGATAGATTACGGCTAGTAATCCTTTTGTGTCCTAGAAGATTAAGGATATCCTGGTGTAGCTGCAGTCAGCTGACCTTTTTTTATTTAAATGATTGAAGATTCTTGGTGCAGTTCTGCAGAAGACCAAGGCTCTTCCAGAAGCCACAAATAGTGTGCTGTGGATGTTTGTTAAAGGAACGGTCTGTTTAAGTTGAGCCCCGGTTATAAATTTACAGGAACTTAACTTTGTGCCATGTAAACAGCAGCAGCTACAAGATTGCCCAGAAATCACATGCTGGACGGCTCTATCAAATCTAACAGAGCTGTAAGAGAGCTGAATTTTGTGAGGAGGTGTAGTCAGTGTCATGTGAAGAAACAGAGGGTTTCTGAATCCTGCTGTCCTGGTTGCCCCAGAAAGCAAAGATGAATGCTTCGGTGGAAGAAGAGGGTGGCTGCGCACTCTGAATTTTCTGGCATGGATCTGTATGAGGATTATAAATCGCCCTTCGATTTCAATACTGGAGTGAACAGAAACTACCTTTACCTGTCGCCTAGCATAAACCTTTCTCCACCTGGATCACCTACACTGGCGAAGTCTGGTAACTTCCTTCTCCTTCTTTTGCAAAACCTCTGCATGGAAAGCTTAGTAATTAATGACTGTAAAAAGGAACTTCTCAAATTAAGAATCTATAAAATTTGGCTGTAACGCAGGTGTAAATGAAGGTAAAAGTTGACCTGCTGTTAGCTCTGGTAGCTTATTAGCTTCGGTGTGTCATGTAGGTAATATCTCATGTGCTGTGCATTCACCAGCTTCACCTTATTTGTTATTTCTTAGTTCAGTAGAAAGACAGTTTGAGGGAAAACAAAGTGAGCAAAAAAAAAATCAGGAACAAAAGGGCAACTTCTGCAGGATTGGAGTAATTGTCCTAGTTTGACTATTAGCTTTTTTGCGGGGGGAAGTAGGAATTGTATACTGAGTATGACTTCAGACCTCTGGATAGTTTGACATCTGCTCTTGTCTTAGGACTAAAAATACCACTGATTAATGAAAGTGCCCTCTAAAACCTTTACTGTGTTCCGTCTAGCATTTAAAATGCTGTAAATCTTGACTCCTGCAGATACTAACAGTACTCGTGCTCCCCTGAGGAAGCGGCTGTTGCGTGCTGTGCTGCAGCGGCATCCGACTGCTGCTTAATCCTGCTAGTTTCTAGCTGGTAACCGGTTGTAGAGAACACCTACAACCGTGCCTCCCCACACATCCAGTCTGGTTTTGCCACCTTTCCTTTCCATTCTGTGCTGCCAGATGTGATCTTCCAGAGTAATCAAAAATACAGAAAGCTTCTCCCTCCTTCAGGTGTGGCCAAGCGAAGTTACAAAGGTGGCTTTTTTTGTTGTTATTGTTGTTGTAAGGGCTCATTCCTTAAAATCTTAAGGAAATGTGCGCCCCTTGGGGAATGTCTGTGTGAACTAAACCAAACCCTCGGTCAGTTTGACGACCTGGAGACCTCTGGGGAACAGCGGTCGGCTTTCACTTCTGCAGTTACTGCATCTCCAACCCCTTCTGAAGGAGGGGGAGCAGTGCTTTGTAGCTGGTGCTGATGCCTCACCAGAAGCACCAGCCTTTGCTGGGCTTTTATTTCTTTTTTCATTCACTTTGAATGAATATACGATAAGTGTTTGGGAGAAGCCCAAGAACTTTCTCACCCGAGTTGAAGAAATATGTCTTGCTTTGGCTTTTTCACTGAGATAAATGGGAAGCACTTAAATTTGATCTTTCTTGCATATTGCAAAATAATTATCCTCTGTCGCACTGTACATTACTCAAATGTTGGAGTGATCTTGTAATCTTATAACAGTTTGTTCTCCTGAACTCTAACAAGCACCTTATTTCTTTAGCTTTGCCAACTGTGTAGTGATAGCCAGAATGCTCATTCTGAGTGTCTGACCCAGAATATGTCTTTCTGAAGACAGAGCTTTGTGAAGGCTAACCCTCCCCTACCCCAAGACTGCTCAGCTGAGATGACCAGTACTTCCTTAAACTGCTAATGCTTACTGCTAATCTCTGAATTCAGGCCAGAAAGAGGTAGGAACTTCTGGTCAGAACAGAGCATGAACTTGGGCTGAAAGCAAACCCCAAACCAGAAAACCTGAGTGTAAATTGAAGGACTCTAATGCTTCGCCTACCCTGGCAGAATAATAGGGACTTTAAGTGCCACTTCCCTGAACGTGATCTGTGCAGTCCTAATCAACTTGTTCTTGTCTTCATTTGGTTCATTTAAGCAGATCTAATAAACTGCTGCGATAATATGTTAAACTTCGAAATACAGACACCTAAAAACTGACCTTAAAATTAAGTAAGTTTTCCCAATACTAGGTAAGTCTTCCCAATTTTTTTCCCCAACGGAATTTTTACTCTGTTTAACAGTTTGAGACGTGAAATGCTCTGATAAACTTGGTTATAGCAAATGTAAAGATGCAAGAGAACTAACCTAGCAAAAGGTACCAAGTTGGGAGCCAATAACAGCAGTTCTGCTGGTGAACAAAGACCACAAGTGGGAAATGGTCTCTCAGTAACAGATTGAGCCAAAGTATTTCCATCTGCCAGCTGACTGCTCTTTCCATGGTTTCTTGCTCCACATCGCACCAAAATATCTAAGGTGGGCTGTGTACCTTTCCTGATGAAGCTTGCTGAAAGCCAGGATCTTACCGTCTGTCAGCCCTAATTTATGGGGTACATTTGGGTTGTAGCTGCATCGTTGTGGAGGTCTGTGGGTTGTTACCTGCGCAGACAACTGCTGCTTGGTCAGGCTGCCTAGCACGGCCCTCCCGTGGCACTGATGAACCCTCTGGCCTGCCAGTACTGAAGTGAACTGAGGAACGGGTGCAAAGCGAGAAGGGGTGAACAGTAACAGAGAATGAGAGGGGAGGTGCCAGAGTAAAGACTGATGGGAGACTTCAAATGGAGCTAAAGAAAAAGCAATAAATGGGAGGAGACTGGAAGGCCAGGACAGGAGGGGAAGGCATGGTTAGATGTACAAGGTGAGGCATAAAGGCCTCTTGAGTAGTCGGGGTTTCCTGGCTTCCTGAAAGATCTAGAAATGGGAAGGGGAGGAGGAGAGATCCTGCTGTTTAGCGTTGTGTCTTAAATTCAATGGAAGCAACAAGTAGCACAAACTCCCTTAAAACACTAGTTTTCCAAAGAGAAGGTACATCCGCAAAACGGAAGCTATTGCTGCAGGAGACAATCCAGCAGGTTTTCCTACTTCTGGATTTACTTGATCTATTTTTGGCGAGATAATCCAGATGACTCTTCGTAACCAGATTGAACAGACTTTCAGCTGGATGTGCTAATGCTCTTGGAGCCAGCGTGGCCTTTGGTACTTGCAGGCTTTCTGAACTGGCTTTCACAAGGGTGAGCTCTGTAGTCCCCAAAGGGCCTGCAGCTGGAGAGCAAGGTCAGGAGTTGGAGGCTAACATACTGGGGGTCGTAGAGCATCAGGGGAAGAGGCAGTTTAGATTGTTAGTTTTCCTTCTGTATAGGCATATGTAATTAATGGGATAAATAGCAATTTGACAAAAAGGTGTGGCTTTCTTAACCGACTGATGTTAAGAAAAGGAAATACATTGATGTGTAAACCAAAAATTACCGGATTGTGAGACATGAGCTGTAATACTTTTTTTTGGTCCTATAGTGCTGTGCTTTGGTTTGAGCATTAGACTTGAACTTTTTTTTCTGCCTTATTTTTCTGCCAGAAAATAGTGTACTGGGAAACCTGTAGGAACTACATCATGTCTGTGTAGAAGACAGATGCAAATCTCTGGGAAAACATGGTATAGATTTCATAAATAAATGCGGAATGGGGTTTCAGTTGCCTTCTATGTGCTTCCTTGTCAGTGTACTCCATGGTAACTTACCGTTTACAAATGTTCTACCCATGTAGCAGTGTGCTTCTAGAGGACAAGTGTTCTGAACACAAATACAGGCAGAAAACATGCTGTTTTGGAAAGAATTTGTGGAACTGAGCTTTACCTGAGTTCAGTAACTTGATCAAGAACAAGGCCTCCTCTTGGGTTTGACAGCTGCTAGGAGTGTGTTTCATAGAATACCTACAACTAATGACAGACTTGCAGAATCTTTTTTTCCTGAGTTTTTAGTTGATAGCAAGCCTCACAATGAAATCATAGTGGTGGTCTCATTGCACATTAATGAATTTTTGGATTCCCAGACCAAATGGTAGTATGGAGTGCCATCAGAAGCTGCTGCAATGAGGATGGAATTTTATCTGGTTAATTACTATAGTGGCTAATAAGGGAACACTACTTGATATGTCCTTAGCTTGTCTGAGCTATATATACACACACACACACATACACACATACTTACCCTCTCTCCTTAAAAACAATCCTCCTGGGATTTTTTTCTCATAATTCAAAGTTTTTTATTTAATTTATTTTTTACTCTCTATAAAGCTATTTTATCTCTTGAATAGAGAATTAGTTCTGGGAATCCATAACCATTCCAGCATGCAGTCTCTGCAAACTGGTCTCTTTGCAGATTAGAACAGGATTCTTTAATTCTGGCGAACTATATGTAAGATTTGAAATGGGAAATCTTTTGCTGGAAATTCTGTTCGTTGCATTAAAAGGTGCTTAAAAAGTGATCTTACTGCAAGCACTAAGGACTAAGAATAAATGAATCTTTAAAGTGAGTGCATGATAACAGTACAAGTACTATTGTTCTTCCTTTCCCTGAAGCTGTGAAGGCGAAAGTTGAGGAAGACCATAGGGATGTTTGGGATTCATGCAGAGGAGTTTGGCAGTTTTGGTTCCTGAATTTGGAAGGGGAAGAGGCAGCAGCGTGAGTGGATGCACGTCCTTATTGCTCCCTTCTCAGCACTCCACCGCTTCATCTGAAGTAACGGCCTTTTGTTCCCAAGCTCCTTCTGCAGGCCTCTCATCTGTCTTAAAGTCCAGGCACAAACCAGCAGCTTACTACTAGTTCCATGATATTTGTGACTTTCAAGCCACAGTGGTCCCAGTTACTGGGGACAGAGGGTTGAGCAGGATATGGGGGAAGAGTTTGTACTTGCAGTGGAATCCTTTTCTCGGCCGTTGCTGAGCTTGCTTGTCGCTGTGACTGCTCCCAGGGTGCTGAAAATGGGTGTTTTTAACCTGACCCAGAGAGTGGTGAGGGAGGGAGCCTCTGCATTGGTCCTGAGCACCTCCAGCACTTCTGTGCCACATGAGGAGAGAGAGCAGAGAGTGCCTGGACTCCTTGTAGGAACCACTGGTTGGGACGTAGCATTCTGCACCTTGATTTCTGTCAGAGTAGCGGGATGCATTGTTCTCAACGCTTCCAGTCTCTTATTAGAGCAGCAGTTGCAATTGTGTTGAGCTTTAACACAACTGGATGGAACAAAACAGCTGGTAAAATGCCTCTCGTTGCCTGTATGCCATAGTACTTGGGGAGCGTGGCTTTGGTGTCTTCCCGTCAGTTTTCTTTGTGCACTGGCACAAAAGGGCCGTATATTAATGTTGCCTGCTATCTGGCAGACATGTGTTGATCTGACTTTTACTGGTTTATTCATCTCAAGGGCTGCTGAGAAGTGACTCTATACCTGAGGTTGGAGAGGATGCTGCTGCTACAGTTGGTGTGGCAGAAACACTCTCAGAAGAAGAACAGGATGAGCTAAGAAAAGAGCTTGCTAAGGTGAGTCTCTTGCAAATAGCTCTTAAACTGGTTTTGAGATGAAAATGCAGGATAATGCTGTCTTTGAACGTACAGTTGATGCTTTGCACGTTTATTCTGTGAATGTCTAAAGCTGAGTATGGTACTCCTGTGTGTTGTGGAGAGGGAAAGGGAAGGTGTCAAGGAGAAAAGAACAGCCAGTTCTGGCTATGGGGAACTAAGCTCAAAGTGCTGAGTGGACAGGTCTAAAACCGGGATGCATAAATACCTAAATGGTTTTTTCCTCAAATGAGAAGGGGGTAAATAAGCTGTCAGAGAGAACATGGTTAGAAGCCAAAACTGAGTGTTGTCTCAACTGGTGTGATGTAACTAAAGCTGTTGTTTTCATGAAGGATGCTTCATAGTAATAGCTGTGTAGACACTGTTTTGCTTATATCTAACCATTCTTGTCCATAGTTCATATAGCAGAAATTTTAAAGCAGCACTCCTCAAAGGACAGTCAAATATTTGAACCCGATATGTGCATTTCAAAAGTTGTCAAAGTCAAGCTTTACTGAGTTGCCAGTCTTTTTTCTTGTGTAGCTCTATGTGACTTTAAGATCCTAATAAAAGGCACTCTAAGGTTGGCAGATGAAGGTTAGCTGTGAAATAAGCACATTTGATGCGGTCTTGGTTTTGGTAGTCCTGACTATTACTTCATGCCAAACCAATCGACTGAAGATGGTGAGGGAAATCTGGTCCCGCTTGGGTACATCACACTGGGCTTCATACAGGTATCCGAAACAAAGGGGCATTGAAGATACTTGTATTTCCTCAGAGGAGCTTAAATGTGTGGGCAGCCTGATGCTCTAAAGTGGGTTCAGTCTGGATGAGGAAGGTAGGGTTGGATGTATGCCTCGCCTTTGTACATACGGTCTTAGTGCCTCTGTCATGTTATATAGTCCACAGAATGGCTGTTTTGACATCTCTGATCATGCTCTGGTTGTGCTTCTGTGAGAGCCTTGAGTGACCATCTGTGTAAAGAAGGAAGTATACAGGCAATACAGTTGTGTAGTTGCTGAACAGGTGCTGTGGTTTTGTTGTGGGGTTTTTGTTTGGGGTGGGGTTTTTTTGTGATGTTGGTTGGGTTTTTTGGTGGGTGTGGGTTGTTTCTTTTTTTTTTTGGTGGGTTTTTTTTTTTTTTGTTGTTGTTGTTTTTTTTTTTTAACCAATGATTATTAAATTAAGACTTACTAGGAGTTTATTAATAATAAAGGAGATACTTAAGCCACAAAAGAACCTTTCTGTTCAAGCACGGAGGCAGAAGTTGTGTATGGGTCAGACATGCTCTGAGCTTCCTGATGGTGGTCACGCACTGGTATCTCTTCTGGCATGGAAGGCGAATACAGACTTGGCGCTTGTTGCAGGTCTGGCTAATCTTCAAGCTTCACATAGGCTAATGTTGTCTGAAGGTAATGATTTCTAACTATACAGTCTTTTAGTTACCAGCTTCCTTGTGAATATTCCAGTAACAGAGCTGGCTGCAGGTAGTTTACTTTCTCACTAGCTCTTGTTGTAGACCATGTTGGATTTCCCTTTTTGTATGTAGAAACTGTGAGGCAATGTTAAAAACGCGTTAGCCTTCCCATTGCTGATGCCTAGTAGATGTTTTAATAAATACAGAGTTAAATGGCTGGGTATATTGCTTATTAACTTACCTCTCATCAACTCTTCTGCCACAGGTGGAAGAGGAAATCCAGACGCTCTCACAAGTGCTAGCTGCCAAAGAGAAGCATCTAGCAGAAATCAAGAGAAAGCTGGGAATTAACTCATTACAGGAACTAAAGCAGAACATTACCAAAAGCTGGCAAGATGTTACATCAACCACAGCGTATGTACAGGTTCACGATTGTCTCAGCTGTTGAGGTGAAAACTATGTAGTTCTCATCTTGCGTCTAAACCCTCTGTTCTTGTGTAGATAACACAAAGTTGCGCTAAAACTTACCTGGATAAATGATCATAGATTTCTTTAAAGAAGGCCACTGTTGGCCATATCATCTCCTGCAAAGTAAGAATGGTTGCCCATAACATGCGTGATTCTAGTACACTTTTTGTCAGATGTGTATGAGCTATGTCGGACATATCTGAGCTACCAAGGTGTCCTAAGTCCAACAGAATACCCTTCTTTTCCAGCCTGAAAAATTGGTGTAAAGTGAGCTCATGCAGGAAGAGTGCAAAGTCACAGCTAGTGTTCTTGCTGAACACAACTGTTAGCTTAAGGTCTGGAGTGAACTGCCTTCTGCAATGACTGCATAGAGTGTTAAGAGGAGGTACCTCAGACTTTTTATGGTGAAATTTATCGACAAAAGCATTCGGTGCAAGATTTCAGATGCCTGGCACAAAACCAGACCTCTGTTCTTTTTCAGTGTGTGTGCACGGTGTTGTTTTCTTGGGCTTTTTAGCTTTTTGTGGTTTTTCTTTGTTTGTTTGGGGTTTTTTTGGTTGTCTTTTTTAAAGTCCTACAACAGCAGAAAGCATCTGTTCTGGGGGTGGGTTAGTAGGTGCGTGTTGGTGAACCTGATCTGAAGTCTGAGATGGCAGAGATGCTGTAGCCACAAGGGACTGCAGTGGCTCAAAATAATCCCTTAAGTAGCTTGTCTGTTTGACCCCAAAGTTGAAGTGTACCTCTGGGCTTGACACAAATTTACACACAGTCAAAGGTTCCTTACTTGTTCTATTAGAATAACTGCAGACTTAATTTCGTTTGAACACAGATACAAGAAAACATCAGAAACCCTGTCTCAGGCTGGCCAGAAGGCTTCTGCTGCTTTTTCATCTGTTGGTTCAGTCATAACCAAGAAGTTCGAAGATGTCAGGTAGGTTTCTTTAGCTTTTCCCAAGGTGTCGCACTTTTGATTTAAGCAGGTGATCACTGAAATAAATTTATGCTGTTAGCGTACCAGCGCTTCCAAAAGTTAATCCATTGAGAACCCTCAGCATCTGTTTTGCTGCAAAATCTGCTTTTGTGTCCTCCCTGATGCAGAAGAGTTCTGTGGTCTGTATTTTACATATGCAGGAGAAGCAACATATGCTGGTACCTCCACCGCTACTCTTATTTTTCTGGTAGAGTTGCAGGTGGCCGCCTCTCTGCCTGCCTCTGTGGGATGCACATAGCATTGTCGTTTCTGTTCTGACTTTCTCAGCTTGTGGAATACTACATTTAAACAACTAATGTCTTTAACTGTTTGTGGTTTGGTTTTGTTGGGTTTTTTTGTCTTGTGTGTGGAATCCTTTCAAGTGTGTTTTATTTCTTTGTAAGCTGTTCTACCTCATAGCAGTGGCTTGATTTTATTACCTTTTTAATAGACTATTGGCACTTTTTAATTCTTAAATATTGGTGTGCAACTTACTTTGACTCTGTCAAATGACACAGCCCTTCAGTTAGTTTGGTGGTCATTTCTAGCACTACTGTGAGCTGCATGCAAAACTTTTCCTGGATGCAACCCAATCTTATACTTAGCTTACAATTCTTTGTTTGATTATCTAATTTTTACTACTGAAACATGTACAACTACTCATCTCTGCTTGTAACTTGTTGTGAATAGTGGGTCAGACTTAATTATTGGGCAAGTAAAAATTCACACGTTCTAACAGAATGTTGCTGCGTTGGAAAGCAGTGTAATAAAATCAGCCCTCTGTTTTAAAGTCCTGCCATTAACCTCTTTCTTGCTTTTTGAAGTCTAGTGAGAAAACACTTTGAGGTACAGCTACACAGTTACATATTTTTCTTCAGATTTATCAGAACTTCCTTTCTTTTTTTTAATGCTTACTCTGGCATTGTGCAGACTACAGGCATTTTCACATTCCTTTAGGTAAGGTGGACACAAGAATTGTTTCTGAAACTAAGCATGTAGTCAGACTGTCTCCATTAAAATCTTTAAATAAGCTTTGTCTGTAAAAGGTAATTTCTTTTTTTCTCCAGTGTTAGTTAATGTAAAACTGAAGCTCTTTTAACAACACGAAGAAACATCTTCTCTGATCACCCAGTAACTGTCCCAGAACATGAAATCTTGAGAATACATCGTAATCAGTTAGTCTCTCCTCCTTATAGGAAAGGAATCTGTTAAAATGATTCTGCAAGATTTTTTGTAGAGAGACAGAATATGGTTTTGAGGTCAATGGCATGCAGGATTCCTCCTCCTCTTTGTCTGTACAGTGTTTGTGCCTTGACAGAGTACAAATTTTCCCTTTTCTGTGTCTATTAAAATGGCTGTTTAGCATTGTGACCCTAATCAAATTGCTAAAGTCTAAATGTAAAATAGTTTGTGCATTCTCTGTTCATAGTTTGTCCACTGAAACAGTCCTTATCTTTGAGTTGATTACTTTTAGCAGCTCCAGACACTGAGTATTTTAGTTACTCTGTCTCATTGCCTTTTATCTGCCTAGTCTAAGCAAATGTTCAATATTAAGTTTTCAGGAGGTGAAATTCCTGTGCAGCAACTTCTGTCCATTGCCTCTCGTCCTATCTGTGCCCACCTCTGAGCCTGGCTTCACCTCTCCTGTACTCTCCAACTAAGCAGCTAAAGACAGCAGTAGGAACTCCAGAAAGGTGTAGGGATCTGGCTCCTAGAATGTGAACTAGGAGCCATAGCCCCAGGGGCAGAGCCTGGGGGGAAGGTGGGCAGCACCACAGGACGATATCAGGCCTCAGACTTTGAATCGAGCTCAGGTTGCTCCTCCCCTTCAGCACTGGGAGGACAAAGGGAGCCTGGAAGATGTCTGTACCTTTTGGATGCAGAGCTCGGCTGCTCACTTGACAGGGTTCACCTTTCTTCCTTGTGGCTATGGTGTTCCCCTGCTAGTATTAGACTGTCCCATTTGACAACGACAAGCACAGACTCAGCTCCTTCTGGCTTCAGGAATTTAGCACCTCAATAGAAGAGTGTCCTAATTACTCAAGTTGGTGGCTAGGTGGCTGTCGAGTACTCTCCATTGGAAACTGGGCCACAGGGTGGGCATGTAACAGGGCCAGAGTCCGCACTGCTGGTGTGCTTCTTGGGGAGAATCACAGCAGTGGGAATTCAAGGTGTTGTGTTGAATTCAGGAGCAGCTGGGTTTAAAAAACAAACAAAAGAGTGGGAAGAATTAGTGCTGTTCAAGATCTTAGTTGTACTTAAACAGGAGACTAAAAACCTTTGAGTGCTTTGCTTTCATGAGGACCAAGTTCATCTGGGATTCATCCAGGAATTCAGGTTCCAGAGTTATGCAGGTGGTGTCTACTTTTAAGACTGCACAAGTCTGAAATTTAGATCTAGTTTTAGCTGCCCAAGCTCTTTTCTGGAAATGAGAACTGATGGGCTACTCTTGGAGTCTTATGTGGCAGCTTCATCATGCCTTCGCTTTTCTGGTACTGCTTTAGCTTAGGGACTTCTCAGCTGTAGTAGCGTGATTGCTTTTGTGTTGGACTTCTTGCGCTTGTTCCATGCAGCAAACATCACGTGCAGGTCTTCGTTCTTGCACTGCAAAGTGATGTTGGAGGGAGTTGCGAAAGGGAGTAAGGCAGCTGGTGGAGCTGTGAACTTGGAAAGTAGTGAAATAGAGAGGAAGAGAGAGTGGTGGTGTGAAGTCAGTGCATCATTGCTTCCTTTTTGTGTTCATTTCCTCTTTTTTTTTTTTTATGCTGAAAATGGACTTTGTTCCTTCGTAGGTTTCTCTTAATACCTTTTTTGTTCTCCTTTACAAGAATGTCTTGAAGTTTTGATGAGCTAGCTATCCCTGTGCAGGCAACATCAGTATTATGTGCAAAACAGTAGCAGAACCAAGATGCTCCGCAGAGCTCCAAGCGCTCTGCAAACTTCCTGAGCAATCATGACTTTGCACTTAGCTCCTCTTGCACCGCATCCGTGGTACAGAGCAGAGGATCTCATCTGTGCCCTGTTATGAGATTAGAAGAACTTTCTTCACTTGCTTTGGAAATCTGATATGATGATGGACTCCTAAGTATCGTCATTTATCAGGATATCAGTTGGAAAGCTAACCGTTAACAAAAGCAACTAACTGGGATTCCTGCATTCTTAAGCCCGTGTTTTCCAGGCAGGGACTCTGGCATACTGCCTTGTGCGTTTTCAAAGTGCGAGGCAATGCAGTAGCTATAAAAATAATCATGTAAAGGATACAAAAGCTTTTAATGCAATACAAAATACATGGAAGGTTGGAGAGCAACTTACTGTGCCTTTTTTGGTTTGGTTTGTTTTGTTTTGTTTTTTTTTTTTAAACCTAGGGCTTTGCTTGCGAGCTTGTAAAAAGGGCTGTTCTTCAAACTGCAAAACTTGATGGCCTAGTTGAGTGAGTGCTTTGACGTGGCATTCTGTCGTTTGTGAAAAGAAATACAAGTTCTCTTCTTTGTAAAGCTGCTCAAGGCTTAATCGTGCTTCTTTGCACTACTTGAAGAACAGGTGATTTGACATTAACAATATCAACTGCACGCATCTAATCCAGTTCTTTTGCAACCCAGATGATGATGTGATAAAACTATATACGATCTTATGGTGGCATTTTACAAAACGGATACTGAGTATACAACAATGTATTTGTACATCAGCATGTAAATCCTTCACGAATGTACGAAGAGTTCTTCCATTAAATGACCTCTATGAGATTAAACTAAGCTTCCCTAGACGCCTTTTAAAAGGTTTGCAGTACACCATAGGGGGTTGTTTTCTCTGTGAACAGGTCTACAGGTTGTAAATATATATAACTATGGGGAAAAGAAGGTAACTTTCACTCTCTTCAACCTTGAACTTTGTGCAGGGTGAGAGAAGTGGCTAAGCACAACCGAACAAAGAGAACTAGTTAGTATCAGCCTAGTTCTGTACTAAAACTTAACACATAGCAAGACAGAACTTGGAGTCCTGCACGTCACAGAGCTCCGGAAGACAATTAGCTTCTATGTCCTATGGAAAAGGTTGTGGAAGCTAAACCATCCGTGAAGCTGAAAAACAGCAGAAATGGGGCTGGGGAAAGGGATGAAATGTGGCCACGCATTACTGACGTGTGTCAGGACAGTGTCTGGCCTTACATATCCGGTTCCCAATACACTGTACCTACAACCCAGCCTTCAGTTGCACACCTGCTGTAAGGGATCCCAACATTCAGAGAACTTCTTATGTGTGTAGTTTCTTTTTCTATCACTGTATTCTACTGATGAGCCTCCCAAAAGAATCTCTTAAAACTCATTTTGTAGTGAGCACAGAACCTTTTTGCTTCTGTGAATGTATCTTCTGTTGTGCTGAAAACTAATTGGAGTGTTGGAGGTGCACCAAATGTGAGAAGAGGGGTCTGCCTGCTCCCCCCCAGCAATCGCCTAGGAAGTATTCTCTTGAAAGACATCGTAAAGCCCCATTACGAATTCCACATATAGTTATGAAAAACGGTGATCATCAGTTTTTCTAACTTACCATTGCAGTATTTGACAAGAAACATTCAACATATACAACTAATTTGTTTCAAGAGTAAACAACAGGGGTTTTCTGGAATATAGCACTAAATTAGGTTCCAGATATTCCTGAAGGTACTTGGAGCTCCTTAGTCTATATCCAGTCACCTCCTAGGCGTAGCTGTGCGTTGCCACTAAACAAGCAGTAACGGGCAGGTTACAGAAGTCCTCCATGAATTTCAGAACAGGGTTGAGACTAGGGCTTTCTTCCTGCCCCCCGCATAAAGCTGACCTTGAATACAGACTGATGTGACTGCTCTCGCTAGATAATCTGTATTGACAGGTAGGTAATTTGTGTTGATGAGTATGGAAATCTTCGATTGAATTGAAATGGAAGACTTCTGAATGTAGGAATAATTCTTTCAGTAGGATGATTAGTTGATTGATAAGACTCTTGAGTGTTCACTTTCTACTTGGTATCATCAAAACTGGAAATGCAGCATGACCCTCATTGCTTGAGAACCTTAACGAGTAGGCAGGCTGTGGCAGCTAAGCAGAGTATGTACTAACAAGCATGGCACTTGAATCTAAAAAGGGAAAAAAGTTGTTGCAGCTTTTGCTCTGATGTACTTGTGTGTGTGCGCATGGCTAAGCAATTTAAAAAAGCGAAACCACACAGTTACTGTGTAAGGTGGTATAAGACTGGCTGCTTACCCAAGACAGTATCCAGAAGTCGGCGCTCTCAGACAGTTTCTTCTCCGTCTAACACTTAAACTAACTTCTCGCTTTCTTCTTTCTTAATGCTGCCGTTTAGTATACGCTCCATACAACATTCCATTAGCATGCCTATTATGAGGTAATGTATGCATAATCCAGCTGTTGGGTTTATTTATTTTCATGTGTGTAATCAAGTCCAATTGAACTTAAGTCACCTAACATAGATTTAAAACAAAACCAAAAAACCCACCCAACTTTGTAATGAATTTCCTGTACTAACATAGAGGATAAAATTTGTTTTATTTCTGCTTAATGGTGGCGGTGATCACACATCTGGAATGTGACCAAGTGCACTTGCCTGCTGTTTGGGGAGCTACAATAGCGTTTCCCTGCCCGTTAGAAATGTAAAGCTACTAAATGAGTCCAAGTTTAAAAGGCAATAGCTTGGCATCTGTTTTACAACAATGAAAGTGAGTAAAAAGTACTGCGGTTTCACAAAAAGTCTCTTGCTTACTTGGAGTGCTTGCCTTTTCTCTCCCCTTGCCTGGCACTGTGTCCCTCCATCTCCTGAGAGAGTCTGGTTTGAGATATATGTGTCACTGTGTGCTTTCCCAAATGAAAGAGTGCTGCGAAGTGTGGGTGACCTACACAAGCAACAGGCAAAGGCAGAAGGGATGCATAAGACCTCTTTTGAAAAACTCTCCTCTCTTTCATCTTTATATAATAATATTTTTTTTGACTCTACTAGAAATCCTTGGTCCTGGTCCGCTGAAGGCAAGCATTTTCCATCCCGTGTAAAGGCAGAAGAGGTGTACAGGCTATTGCACAAACTTGCGAATGGCAGGGAGAGCTAGTTGGAGCATTAAGCCACTCTTCTGACCCTAATAAATAATGTGCTGGCCCTCAGCACTGAAAATGCCAAGTTGTCCTGCTCTTTGTACGCAGAACTTGGTGGTTGTAGTCACAGCTGTCTCCAGCACTTAAGAGGCAAGGGGGAGTCTCCCTTGAATTTAACACATTAGCAGGAAACACTGCTGCGAACTGCGAACACATAGCCTGTTAAATTAAGCTAGTTTTCCTATAACAAATGAAAAACCTCTGATGATAATCTTTCTTCAGCAGTAACGTACTAGGCTAACCAGAAGTGATGACAAAGCTTTTCTGAACAACTGCTTTAGCCACAAAACTGTTTGAAATCACCAGGAATAATAAGCTAAACCAAGAACTTGCTAGAAGTTCTCCGTTCCACGTTGTGATGAAAGACCCTGTCACTGAGCCTGGCAATGCTTAGTTGCCAAAGATATAAATCAGCTGCAACTTGGGTGTGTTTTGAAGCTTATAGTTTTGTAGTCCTCAGGGAGGTCCAGATCTGAACTATTTTTAGGCTACCCTTAAAACGAGGAAAGAGCCCTAAACAAACACAACTCACATTGACATTGGAAAAAGGAACTGTCTGCTTGTTTGCTGATATGTATAGACTAACCAGGTATGTTTTTAATGCTGTGGTTCCTTTTATTTTCCTAGAAATTCTCCTACTTTCAAATCCTTTGAGGAAAAAGTCGAAAACTTAAAGGTAAGCAGTACTAAACCACCTTGGTGATTATGGAGCTGTGGATGTGGAGAAAAGACTGAAGTGGACTCTGGGCAGCCTGTTTTGTAGTTACTGGTGAACTGTTGAAGGTGTTTAGATGACATATTTTTGAGTACTGTGGAAATGGTTTCTCTGCCTCGTGACCTGAGAATAAAAAATGGACTACTTGCCCCTCGTACAGGAGGATGCCTTTAACTAGAAGGACTAATGGCTAGCTAACTTGCACAAACAGCTAGGGTAACATACCTAGTGGTATGTATCCAAAATAGTCTATGCTTTTATGTCCATGCCTTCCTAAGGACTAGTACCCTATGCAGGAGAAAAGCTTGGGATGTTTCTTTTATTTCTGGCATAAAATACGCAAGGCCTTTGTACCTTAATTTAAAATTTACTCACAAAAGCCTTAAGTGCCAGAAACAACCGTTAATAGCTTCTCCAGGTAAAAAAATAACTTTAAAAATAATTAATGCATGTAACTGGAACCAGATTTTGATTGTTCTGGTGGGCACACTGGGTGGAATGAGAAGCATGAAAGCAATAGTGAGTGAGAGAGATAGATAGGCCAAGTGCAAGGTCCTGCACCTGGGTCAGGGCAATCCCCAGCACAGACACAGGCTGGGGGATGAGTGGATCGAGAGCAGCCCTGCGGAGAGGGGCTTGGGGTGCTGGTGGGTGAAAAACTGAATATGACCCACCAATGTGCGCTCGCAGCCCAGAAAGCCAATTGCATCCTGGGCTGCATCAAGAGCAGCATGGCCAGCAGGTCGAGGGATAGGATTCTGCCCCTCTGCTCTGGTGAGACCCCACCTGCATTGCTGCCTCCAGCTCTGGGGTCCCCAGCACAGGAAAGACATGGACCTGCTCGAGCGGGTCCAGAGAAGGCCACAAAGGTGCTCAGGGGGCTGGAGCACCTCCTCTGTGAGGACAGGCTGAGAGAGTTGGGGTTGTTCAGACTGGAGAAGAGAAGGCTCTGAGGAGACCTTATAGTGGCCTTCCAGTGCTTAAAGGGGGCTACAGGAAAGGTGGGGAGGGACTTTTTAGCAGGGAGTGTAGTGATAGGACAAGGAGTAACGGTTTGCGACTCAC